CCCTACACGATGCTCTTCCGATCTCCCCAAAACCCCAAAACCCCATGATTGATGAATTGCACAAGAGTTGAATAAGTGATTAAATTAGCGAATACATATATTAACCATCATATTATATTGATTGATTTAAGCTATCAAGCCAATTAATGAAAATCGCTTACTAATTGATTTGATAGAATTCTATTAGATTACTTCCTGATTCAATTACATTTAGCGCAGTTATTCTTCTTCTATTCTGTTTTCTCCAGTTAGCCAAGTTATACCTTCGTTTTTGTTGATCTATTAGCTCTCTTATTCATGTTATTTGTGCCCACCTTTGCACCAGGAGGAATTGTACTCTTAGATCCATCTCCACCACCGAGAATCTTATTCATATCATCTTGTCGCTTCACTACTCTAGCAATCAAAGCCTAAAATGCTGCCTCAACATTGACATTATTCTTTGCACTAGTCTCAAAGCAGAGCATCTCTCCATTTTCATTACAAAACTTCTTTGCTTCTTTCTCTGATATTTTTTTCTGACCCTCGTCTACATCGCTTTTATTTCCAAGGACTAAGAAAGGCAAAGTATGGGGCTCTCTTGGTTCACTCTTAGTAAGGAATATTTATTTCCAATTGAGAAGATTTTCGAAAGACATATTGTTTGTTACATCATATACAAGCACACAGCAGTCAGCTCCTCTGTAGAAAGCAGAACCTAAGGACTAAAATCTCTCTTATCCTGCAGTATCCCATATCTATAGAGTCACTACTCTGTCATCTAATGTAATTTCCTTGTTGGAAAAATCTGCTCCAATAGTTGGCTTAAATGCTTGGTTAAATTTATTATGTTCAAACATTTGAATCAGAGAGGTCTTTCCGACTCCTGAGTCTCCTATAATTACTAATTTGACGAAGCATTTCCTTAAAGGTTTGGTTTGTGGATCTGGGGTTGGAGTAGCTTCCATTATTTATATATTATAATTGTATTATTAATCAGAAAATCAATTTAGGAATGTTTAATCATGGGGTTTTGGGGTTTTGGG